CTGGGTGAATCAAGCTTCCGAGACTCCACCTTTCTGCAAACAAGTACTTTGTAGCAAAGATAAGTCTGTGAGGACCTTGAGGGTAGGAGCTGTTCTTGCCCTGCTTTGCAGGTTCCAGCCCTGCACACACATACAGCCTCCTCCATTGAGTGGTCCCACACAGAATGCCTTAAAAAGTATTTACTGGTTTTATAATCATTTCTACTTATCTTGCCTAGATATGTTAATTTACATGTTAAGTCACGCAAACAAATGTAAACAGTGATCTCTTTTGAAGATGATCTTTTCTGTATCCCCAACATTTCTATTCCTGTTGAGAAATATTTCAACAGAGCACTCTGTACCAAGTCCAGTCCACAAACTTTGATACAAACAAATAATAAAGATGGATTTAAGTGTTTGTTGAGGCATTTGTCCTCAAAGTCAGGCCATGCGAAATTAAGATTTTTTTCTCTCTTTCCCTTTCCTTCAAATATAATATTTAAAGAATACCACATTCTTTGCCAATAATGCTAAACGCTAACACAGAAAGTGCTAACTTTAGCAATCATGGCTTCTAAAAGCAGCTTGTATCATGACAAAATTCCAAAGAGTGTTCATGAGGCAATAGCATAGTTATTGAAGGGAATTTTAGCAGCTGAATTGAGAATTTTAAAAGTAATAATATGCCTTAAATAAAACGTGCATTAACTTGCCTTGGTTAAAAGCTGGCATAAATGATTATTACTCCCTAAATCACATGTGCTGAAATTACACTGCAATCAAATCACTTAGGGAAAGATATGGCGATCCTTAAATGACTAAGATTCTATTATTAGTAGGCAGTTGGCTTCATGCTACAAATTGCTTCTATGCTTGGCAAATGTGGCACGTTCTGAAGCACAGACATTAGACCTAGTTTGGTATTACTTATAGCTTTAAAATGTTGAAGCCATCAGCCATGGTTTCCCAAAAGTTCATTGAATGCCTTTGAAAATCATTAGGAACATTTCTGCAAATATTAATAAAAATGCTCACTTCATGAATGCAAAGGGAATACTTCTTAGTAACATCAAGAAATTAAAAATCCATGTCTAAAGACTCCTTTTAGAAATCCCCCCTTCTACAGGATTCACAGGACAGTAGTTAAAAGATTTTACTTACTTTTTTTTTGGGGGGGGGGGCAAGGGAGGAGAGCTGGAGTAAATAAGATGCTATAAAAAACCAAAGTGTCAGTGTGGCTGCAATCACTGGTGTGTGCATTGACATTGGGGAATGGGAAGGGAATATTTCCTTCCTACTCAGATGAACTTGGAAGATGTATCAACACTAGGCTACCTAGTAAGAGAAATATACCAGGTGGAATAGTTTTAATTAACAGTGCATCTCTGTGAGAGACCTAACCCAGAGGATCAGGCACCATAAGTGCAGAAAGATGGGAAGGAGAGAGAACAGGAGAATGGAAGAACAGTTAAGTTACTGTGACTCAAAAAGTGGGGAGTTTCCTTTTCTCTTGGTGCAAAAAGACCTCACATAACCTATATCCACTTGATGTTTCCTCCCATATCTAAGTTGACAGTTATGTCATTGCATGAACGTCTTTAATTCTGGGGGAACAAGTAGACTCCTTATGAGCAGCTCTCCAAGTACAGAGGTAGATAAGAGAAGAACTGCTTGTTTTGTATGCTTGCACCTCTGTTAGGAGGCTAAAAGGACGTGAACGTTATCCTTTTATGTCACCTCTTCCCTAATGTCACTTTCCTCATCTCTTTCCTCATTTTCTCCCCTATCAACCTCTAACTTTCACAAAGTCTAAGAGGGAAAATCTGACATATAGGACTTTACAGACTTGGCTTGGATCTTCTCTCCAGAGGTAAACTGATAGTAACTGGAAGAAAATAAATGTGTCAAGAGGCATTAGGCATATGCAAACATTTCACCAACTGAACTAAACAAACGTTTTCATGGGCAAAGAAAATACCAAACATTTCTCAAAAAATAATCCTGTTCTGAAACTTGTGACGAAAAACTTGAGCAAGGTAAATGATGAAGATGCTTGAAATAATTAGTTGCTGATGCAACTCACTCTATTTTACTCATGAATGACAAACAATTTCTGAAGGAAACAGTCCACTCAGGATTTCAGCAGTGCTCGGCGCTGTGTATAATTAACCCACATTTTACCTCACAAACAACAAAACAGGATTCTAGATGATTCCCTTCTGCCTTTTTTCCATCTACATAAATCTAAATTTGAATTAGGATTTCATTATTGAATAATCCTGCATCATGATATTTTCTTAATCATCATTTTCCAAACTTTTATATTGTAGTTAAATATGCATAGGTTTTGTTTCATTAAATAAAAATGCAAGTGATTGTTTCACTCCAGACTTCATTTCAGGTGATTTTCATTTTGATGAAAGGCAAGGTGTATAAAGTTGCCATTCTTTGTGCACAGGTAGTTCAGTATAATAAATGTCAGGGATGTGCTCATCTCCTTGGAAACTATGCATATGATTATTCACTTGTTTACTCAACAGATTTTATTGGGTGACTACTGTGTGCAAGGCATGATGTTATGTGCAGAGACTACAAACTGTCAAATTTTTATTAAGCACTTGAAATTATCTTAAGTGATATTTATCTGCACGTGGAAAGGACAGACCGCAAATAACTGCCCACATCTGGTTTGTTTTCTAGCCTTTGAAAAAACAATGCTCCTGTTCGCTCTTTTAAAAAAACTAATTTTAGCCCTTTGGGCTCCTAATCTAAAATCTCCTTTGGTGCTACTTGAAGCTAAAGACAGGGGACGTATGACCTAGCATTCCTAGGAATCCATCCATTATCCCTCACTACCCAGGTGAGTCTCCTTCCTAAACCACCAGGAAGCAGTGGCTCCATTCAGAACCTGCTTTGCTTTGTGGTGAAAACCCCAGCATGGGATGCCAGGTCTACTGGGACTAAGAGCTGAGCCAATTAATATCCTGGGAAACAATAAGACTGCCTGTCCCATGTACTAAAGCCAAGAAGTATACAGCCAGGAGAGATCTGCACATTATCTAGCCCTGCATCCTCTTTACAGATGAAAATGAGACTCAAGGAAGTAGGGGATTTGCACACAGAAATCTGTGGTAACCAGTAGGAAAACTCTAAACACAGCTTTGTGTTAACGACTGGATCAGACTCACAGACAGATCCCACACCCAAATATTTCTTGTCATGTATTGGGTACAAACATGACTGGGTGGATTGGGGAGCAAGGGGCAAGTACTCGTGCTAATTATTGGTTCCAGACCAGCTCTCCAACCACTAGGTAAAAAGGCCATGCTTTGTTTGGGAATTGGAACCCATTACGTGCTAGCCTATGTAAGAATTCTAAGGATAGGAACTACTAAAATAAGAAAAGTCTACAATTCACCTCTTCCCTCTAGCTGTGAGTCTGTGTGTGCGACCCGCCTCCCCACCCCCTCCACCCCCCGCCCAGTGCAAAACATGGCCAGATCCTGGAACCGCGGCCGTTGGAGAGGCTGGAGAAAGAGCCTGACTCTCCCAGGGAAAACAGAATCAGCTCTTTTCACTGCAGCGCTCAGAGAATCTGGCACCAACCGTGAGAGGCGCTCGTGCGAGACTTCTCGCTTGCCTTTGTGCAGGAACTGCCTCTGGCGGCACCGTCAGTCTGGTCTCCTCCCAGTGCTTTCTAATCCCGTTTCCCTGGGGGCGCCAGAGGTTAAAGTCATGGGTTGTGAGATGTTCCAACAGCCCAGAAGCACCTCCACCAGGCCACTCCCAGGTGAGCGCAGCTCCACCTCTGGGTCTCCCCGCCTGACAGCAAAACCTGCGTGTCGGCACTTGCACGCTCCTCCCGGCTAGTTTCACCCAGGATTTGGCTCGATTCACCAGCAGCAGCCTTGCACCCCGCTCAGCTCTCACACTTAAGCTCAGGACCCTGCCTTCCCGGTGGCTCCTCCCCCTCCAGAGGCGATCCTCTTCTCGAAAACGTCTCAAGCCTTGGCCCCGGGAACCAGTGACAGGGGCGGCGGGTGCCTAGGTCCGGGCCCTAGATTCCAGGTGGTGCCCCCCAACCACACCGCGCTTGACCCTACCCTACCCTAATAGTCACGCGCCCCAAACATTCGCGCCCGCGGGGTCCTCGGCCCTTCCTGCCACCGAGTGCAAGGTGGGTGTGTGGGCGCGTGGGAAGGAGATACCCCGACCTTGAACCGCAGACCCTTGAAAATAATTCACTAAGATGCTAATAATTCAAATGGACGCAAAGATCAAAGGCGAACAGCTCGGCCCAGGGCCTCGTGGGCCGGCGGAGGGTGTTGCAAGATGGGTCTGGACGGAATGGCGGGGTGGGGGCGGGGAGGGCGGGGAGCAGCGTGATCACCCCGGCCTGGGGAGCGCCGACTCGTAGGTCGGCACCCAGGCGGCGCAGGCGGCCGGCAGCGCGGCGAGGCCGCGACCACGCGGTGGGTGCAGCCCGCGCCGCGGGCGCATTCCTGACAGTAGGCGTCACGTTACTCTCCCTTCAAATGCGGAATCTGCACGTAACTGCGTCGTCGCTTCGGGGATTTTCTCCCGCTTCCCGGCACCCCGCCGCGCTCCCGCCTCCCCGCCAGCCAGCGGGGTAGGTGCCGGAGGGGCGCCCACTGCGAGCCGGCGGCCCCGGGCGGCGCGCGCATCCCCCAGGCGCGCCCCCAGGCGGTCCAGGCACCTTGCCCACGAGGGGCTCCGAACGTGGGGTCACCCTGCGGACACACAGCGCCCTTCTCGCCCCACTTGCCGTTCCCCATCCCCACTGACGTCCCGGTCCTCAGCCAAAAAAGACGAAATTTTCACTCAGCAGGGACCGAGGGAATCCCTCGGAAGAGGCAAAGTTAACGGAGGGAGCGGAGCTCCGGCGGCGCCCTGAGGGGCGCTGAGAGCGTGCCAGGCGCGGGGTCCCCACGCCCGGGCGCAACCCCGCGAGGCTGGAAACCCGCCCCGAGCGCCACGCGGTCGGATGACTCTCTTACCCGAAGTGTCCCACAGGCTCAACTCTATTCTTTGTGTGTCGATTTCAAAACTGGCCGTGTAATTCTCAAACACTGTTGGGACGTAATTCTAGCAAACAGAATGGGCAGGAGGAGAGAGGCAAAGAGGTTATCTTAAAATGCACGACACCCATAGAACACCCTCTGAAAATCGCCTCCCCATCCCTCTATTAAAAAAAAAAAAACAACAACACGCAAATACCAAATAACACGCTAGACATGTAGAACCTTTCCGAAGCCCCTTCTGACTCCCGCATTCTCCCTACTAGCCTCTCTAAGCAGCTAGCACCCCGAATCTCCCACCCCAAATGTTCTGTGCACTTGACCGAACAAGTTTCTGAAGCGAAGAGCAGAATGTGCCGGCGTGTCCCAGCCCCTGAACGCTTCCAGCCCACTTTCCCTTTCCGAGCAATCTAAGGGGGTGGGGTGGGGTGGGGGGAGTAGTAAAGGGTGAGAAATAGGACTCTAAAAATTGGAAAAGGAGTGAAGGAGGAAAAGCAAGAGGAACCCCTCCTCGAGAAAGCAGATCCCCAGGCCGTGCCCTCCTTGAAGCCCGGGCCCCTCCACACTCACCTCGGGGAAACAGTCTTTGGCGAAGACGTGCAGCAGCGCGGTTTTCCCACACTGACTGTCTCCCACCACTACTATCTTGCATTTCACGTTCTGATTAGGATCCATGATAGATTTACTGGATAATTTCTGACTGGCTCTTCTCTCCTTCATTGATCTTGCCTTATTTTCTCTTGGAACAGGAATTTTCTCTTTAGAGGAAAAAATATATATATTTCGCTATATGTATCTATAAAGCAGATATAAAAATAAATCGCAAGGCTGGTGGGAACCCCTGAAGCGCAGCGCAGACCGGGAGAGCTGGAGGAGCCGGCTTGTGACTCCCCTCCAACAAGTTTTATGCCTGACTCCACGCCGCGCTCCCCAAGTCCAATTCTGATCCGACTGCTTTGTTTCACGCTCTCTGCGCGGCTTTATACGCCCGGCCTTCCAATCCTCTTCTTTCTCAATGAGAGGAGAAAACTGATCCGCCTCCTCCCCTTTTATGGAGCCTGGGAGCCAGCGCTGTCTCGTTACTTGTGGAAAATGTAAACAGCGCGCCCTCTAGGGTGGCCGAGCGGGATCTCCAGACCGAGGCCCTGGGTCTGCTCCAGGACGCTTTGCTGATGGGTGGGGCTAGAAGGAGGTGAGAAGCGGAATGTGCATATTGATTTTTACTACAATTCCTTTAAAAGCGTTTTAATAGTGGCTTGATCTACAAAAGCCTCACAAGCACATATTAAGCAAAAACATTGCTCACCCAAATTAAAAGCCATAAAGTGTCAGCAGCAAATACTGGGTGGGGAAGGGTTAAGTGTTTGTATTTTTTTTTTTTTTTTTTTTAGAAAATGTCTTGTATCAGGTATATAGGCCACTGGACTATAGTTAAACCAAGGTTTTCAGGGCGAGAACTGATTTACCTGGCTCGCAGCCATAGACTGACTACGAAAACCTGTCAATTTCAATAATCTAGGAGGCGGCAGAAGGGTTGAGGAGTAGGATGAAGAGGTGAGAGCAAAGAAGAAAGAAAAGTGGAAAATGAGAAAAGCCACTGAAATTCAATCTTACTGCACTTGGGACCCAAACACCAAGGTCCGCGCACTGCCCCACTTGCAGTGAGGATATTAGGTTAGGATTCTGATCCTTCCTTTAATTCCTCTGTCTTTATATCCCACACCTACCTGGAAGCAAAGTGCCCTAGACTAAGCGTAGAAAACACGAGTATTTTTAGCTGAAAAATACAGGTACAGTCCTCCACTCACTTTCTATCCCTAGTCTACATTCATCCCTTTACCCATCCACCCCAAAAGTCTTAGAGGAGTACAAATGACGCATCATTTTTTTTTCCTCTTGTCTCAATGGCACAGTTCTTTTCTTTTCTTTTCTTTTCTTTTCTAGATTTATTTATTTATTTATACAAGCACTGGGTACAGTCAGAAGTGTGGGAGGGTAAGAGAATTCACCAGAGTCAGAGCGGAGAGCAGAGCAGGCAGACTGACGAAGTACCTTACTGAGGGGAGCAGCGGGCGGCAGGAGAGGTCTGCGTGCCATGTGGGACCCTAACCCGGTAGCCGGGGATCGAACCGGCGCTGCAAAGGCTGAGGGCAGCTTCGCAGCCTAGCGCTCAACTGCTGCGCCACCGGGGGAGGCCTGGCACAGTTCTTTTCTGATCTTCATCTACTGTGCTGAAAATGGTCAGGAGGTCTTCAATTATTAAATTGTAGTAAGATTGGCCAAAATCAATGTATCGGCTCCCCTATGGAGGAGTCTAGATGAAAAACCAGAAAGTTCAGTGTGGGACTGAAAAGGCACGATAAAGGTGGTTAAAAGCATGAAGGTGGAACCTCCCTGGTGGCTACGGCCAAGGAGCTAACCAACATGGTGCAGCAGACCTCTCCTGTTTTGCCCACTGCTCCCCTCAGCAATGTATTTCAGTAGATCTGCCTGTTCTGCTCCCCATTCTGTCTCTGGTGAATCCTCTCACCCCCTGCACGTCTGGCCTACACCCTACTTCTTGTATGCATAAATAAATAAAAATAAAAAAGCATGAAGGTTTGTAGTGGGCAGCTGGGACCACAAGCCTCAGGGATCCCAAGATGGTCTCCTTTCCAGAAGTGAGAAAATTGGAGCCTTCCAAAGGAGAATCCTGACTCAGATCCAATGTGCAGGTCCCTGTTTGCATACATGGAGGCCTGACTCAGAGAGATAGCTGGCCTGGCTGGTTTCTAAAGCAGCACAGGCCAAATTTTGCTCTTGCAGAACTTTGGTCTTCCTCACAAAAAGGGTCCTGTATCCCAATTAGCATTGGAGACACTGTGTCCATGTTACCCCTTGACCGTGTATGAAGCATGTTAACATAGTTCAGGAAAAAAAAGCTCTATAAAAACCATGGTCTACTTTACATAGCTTAACCATATTCCCCAAATCTGCTTAACAATAGACACCTTTTATATTATTTTCTTGTTTATTGGAGAAGCAATTGTCACAGCTGTATGGGGTCAGGAGATGATTGTGTATTTGTGTCCTGAACTTCACCATTTCTGGCTGTGTGAACTTGGATGAGTTATTTAACCTCCCCAAGCCTCAAATTCATCAACTGTAAAATAGGAGTCATAATAGTAATTAAGAGAAGATGCAAGTGAAGTTTGCAGAATAGTTCGTGGCATAATTAAGAACCCTTGACCTATTTTATATTACACATGGAAATCTTATTTGCACTTCTCAGACCCACTGAACATATAAGGCCTCATCAGTGAACTCACTAATTAGACTGGGAGAATAGATCCACCTCATTTTTTCCCTCACATTTTTAACTTAGGAAGATGCCCCTTTCTAGAGAGATAATTTGACCTTCTCCATTCCTGAATCGATTAGTGTATGTGGTCAAACCACTCTAACTAGCAATAATTATGAATGATTAGCATTTGACTGACAATGAATAGGATAACCATGTAATTTATCATATAATCCTGGACACTTTTGAGAGCAAAAGGGAGTACTACTAATGATTGTGGCAGAACAACAGTTATAAAAGGGTCTGTCACAGGCAAAATGAGAGGCATAATCACTTTACCAAAGAATAATCCAGAAACAGAGTGGATGACTATTTTTGGAAATCAGGTGACCTGAATCTCCAGGAATCTGCCAGTTACTGAGGGAAATTTAATGGCTGTGTAATAGAGTAGAAAACCAACTGCCTGGAGTCACTAGGCTTTGAGTGTCTTTAGGGTAAGAATTCTCTCATTTTCTTTGAGTCTCTAATGCTTATGTGTAGTGGATATTATTTAAAATTTATTTAGCATTTAGTTTAACAAATATTTAGTAGATACCTGCTGTATGTCAGGCACTGTTGTAGGAATAGTAGATATAACAGTAAACACACCAGACTTATTTGCTGCTCTCACAGATCACACCTTCCACACAAGAGGTAGATAATACAGAAGGAAGCAAGTACAGAAATAGGAATGTATGTGGTAAGCTCTATGAAGAAAAAAAACAGCATGACATGATAAAGCCTAGTGGAATGGGGATTAGACCCAGTTGCCTGGCAGTGCCTCTCTAAGCAGGTTGAGTCTTCGATGAAGAGAACAAATCAGCCATGACAAGTTCCAGTGGGAGGATGCTATGAGGCAAGGGAACAGAGTGAAAAGGTTATGTGCAGGGAAAGAGCTTGGCAGGTTTGAGGAACAGAAGGCAGGCCAGAGGGACCGAGGCCCACTGAAGGAGGGAGAAAATAGGAGGGAGAACAGAAGAAAATTAGCTGGAGCTAAATAATTGTGCCTGGAGCCATGGTCATATATTTTGGATTTAATTCTAAGGACAGTGTGTAGTTAGACATAGGAAAACATAAAAAAGAGTAGCAACATAATTACTTGAATGAATGAAAGAATGAATGACTCCAGGTCTAGGTCTGCACCTGTCAGTACACTAACCGAAACTTTGGCAAAGCTGCTCACCTGCAATCAGATTTTCAGATTTTCAACTGCAGTGAAAATATCCCCCTAAAAAACACATTCATTTGGAGAATGTGACGTCCCCCTCTAGGGTGGGCACATGGCCTAATGTCCTTCCTTTTGCTGTTCCTCCAGTTTGTCTCGTCTTCCTAGTCCTCTCTCCTTTCTCTGACTAAACCCTAGTTCCAGAGTGGAAACACAGCAAAAATTTCAATATGGCTTGGTTAATAAACCACATGTATTCCACATTCAGTTGCCAAATGCTCTTTCCTTTGTGATTAATCCTTTACGTATTGGAGGACATCCCCTTCTCCCAAAGATGCTGCATTCCGCCTGCCACAAAAATGGTTGAATCCAGGTGTGGCGAGAGGTTGAACTGGGAGAGAAATACTATCTAGGGGTGGTGCAGGGCTGATAATGGCTCTGTTTCTTCCTCTGAGCAGTGGACTACAAGTCAGGAAAATTGAGCTTTAGTCCAAGCTGAACTAAAGCACAGTCTGACCTTGGGCAAACACTGACTGAATTATTTTCCTGTTTCTTCCTTACAAGAGGATAATAATATCTGCCTCTTTTAAGATGCACATTAAAGCTGCCTAGACTGTGACTTACACTTTCAAACATTCTTCTTTAGAACAACACTACAGTTCACCCCCCGCCCCCACCAGCTTCAGTGTATTTGTGGAGATCCCAGTTCACAGTTGAATATTGTGAGATATAATCCTGATTGTTTATGCATGGTCGCCTGCCTCTCTCCAGACTCCAGCAGAAAAATGTTTGAAGGAGCAAGTGCACCGTGAGGAGAAAGCACAGGTCTCCTACCGGCATCTTCAACAGGGCAGAGAGATGACATAAAAACAGGAAAACGGGCAGGATGCCCTCATAGACATTATGTCAGAAAATATGGATATGAGTCATAGGAATTCTTGGAGAATTTAATAAGATAGTGGATATGAAATATATTCAAATGAAGTTCAATATAAAATTAAGGACAAGATATAAATCTGTAATCTGCTCTATACTGAAGTGGGGTACTTTCAAAGTCTTCTTTTGGGAGGATCACTCAGGTGAGGTTAAATATAAGACATCAACAAAATTGGAGGCTTTTTTTTTTGAGAAAGAGAAATTAAGGAAAGAAGATTTGTACTATTCTGTGAATTGAGCTTGATATTGGAAAGAATTTCTTCTCTTGGAAGGGAGTCACTTCCTTATATTCGCTTAGATAGTGGCTGTTTGCTCTGTCAGGGGCAGCGCAATAAGCTGTTTGGTCCGGGTGCTCCAGTCTGGGTTGCAGAATTTGGTCTTGTTTATCCTCATTAATGCTGACTGCTAATATGATTTACTGCTGCTGTGGAGACTTAGCCCTAACTCTGTAGCCAACAGGAAATGACACAGAGGCACGAATGTTGAGTAATAAGTCATTGCCTGTTTGATCCTTTTCTTTGTTTACAGTAGACTGACAAAAATTTGTTGCATTCTTTAGAGACCCAGCCCACATAATTTTGTCTCTATG